AATACTATGTCCGTATCGTCGGCAATAATTACACCATTTTTTGAAAGATGGTTTGCCTTTAAAGTTTGGGTGTTTTTCGTAAATATTGAGTATTTCAGTGATTTTTTCAACGAGGTCTGTATCTGATTCCTGTATGTTGTTGATACTTGTGGTATTTGTTTCGATTCGGTTAACATATTGTAATTTCAGATTTTCTGTTTCTTCGAGTTTCATTGTGATTTCTGCTTGTTCTAGTTTGTCTACTAGTTTTCGAAAATCTAAATCGGGTTCTCGAATTGAAGAAGGATGGGATGCTCTCTTTTTTATTGCTATTTTTCCTAATTGCGGTGTTAAGGTCATCATTAAGATTTCTGTCATCTTTGTGTTTTTATAGTCATGTGTATTTAATGAATATGCTTTTCGAACTAGTGTTTCGATGCGTACTGCTAATTGCTTGATGGTTTCGTTTGGTAATCTGCGAATTTCATTACATAAAACTCTTTGTTGTTGTTTGTTTCTTTCGGAGTCAAACATTTTTGAAAATTCTTGTGTAAACCTTTTCCAATTTGATTTTATTTCTATAGGCAATACTGAAAACCATTTTTGGGCTGCGCCGTCTAAAGTTGTTTGTATCAACGCTGTGCGTCGATGTATCCAGTTTTGATGTAGTGGCGTATTAATTGGTTCAGGTCCTATATTTAAAATCAAATTTGCTGTTACTGCATTTAAATAGTCTTCTACAGAATATTCAGGGTCTGTTCCTGTGAATACCATTAAAAGTTTGTTTGATGTTATTGATGATCCACCCATAAGGTATGGATTCATTGTCATTTGTAATGATTCTGCTGCATTTGGCATTTGAGAAAAATTTGAAAGTTGATTTCTTGTTATTTCGTGTTGTTGAAGATAATATGGGAGTGGTATTTCATTTTGCATTTGTGTTGGTTGATACGAGTGTGCAATCATTGGGTTTTGTTGCTGAATTGGTTGAAAATATTGTGTATTAATTGGGTTTTGTTGCTGAATTTGTTGTTGATTTTGTGTATCTATCGGTTGTGGAGAAAAAGTTCTATGATTTGTATGTGGTTTCTGTACTCCTTGTCCACGATATTCTTGATTATAGGGTGCAAATATATCTGGTTGTAAGAAATCATCATCTGAGGATAAGTAATCCATTTGATAAATTGTTTGTTTTTTTTATTTTTATTTTGCTGAAAAAATGGATAATTTTCACTACGATCCTGTGGAGGATGTAGATTTGTTTGGAAATTTACTGAATTAGGTTGTGCTATTGGGTTATCCCAGTTTCGAGATCTTGTATAATTACTAAAATTTTTTCGTGGTTGATAATTTGTTTTTGATGGATGTGTGTAATTATAATTATGGTCTGCAAAATTGTTTCTATTGAACGTTTTGCGTGTTTTTGGCGGTATTGTCATGGGTCTGTATGTTTGGTAATCCATGTGTGAATATTTTGGGGCAACCGAAGGTTTGACGGTTGATTGTAAGGTTACTTGTGTTTGTGAAGGATTTGTATTTCTTGGTGTTGTTAAATTTGGACGTATTGGTGAAATACTTTGTTGTGTAGTTGTTGTATGTACGATTTCTTCATTTATGAAGTGTGATGGTGTCTGGATATCTTGTTGAGTGAGATTTCTAGTTCCATTGAAGTTTTCAGTGTGTATGACTGTGGAGTTTAAACTATTATTTTGCATATCGGGTAAAAATGTATTATAGTTTAATGGTGTTGCATCAATGGTTAATGGTATTACTCTTACATAATCTCTTACGTAAGATATCGTACTTATTGCTTGACTTGAGATTGATTGTGGGAAGTTTATGAATGCGGAGTGAGACCATTCGGGGTCCCAAACATAGTCTGATTGTTTTGTGATGGCAGTATCATCGTTTGAGTTTTGGGGTCTAAAATTTTTTCTTGCTTGTGAAATTAAATCAATATTATGTGTGAAATAATCTATTATGAACCATGCCAAAATTTTTTGTAAGTCGTGTTTTGTATGTTGTGAAACTTCATCTTTCGTGAAATTTTCTTTAATTATATTTAGAAAACTAGAGAGTAGTGTGATTTCATGTCGTACTCTTATATGTTTAGATGTTTCTGTCGGTGAGACATTTGGTATCTGGATTTCGTTTTCTAATATCGAGATATAACTATATATTATTGCAAAAACTTCATTAGTGAATATGGAGTTTGCTCTTTGTGAGTTATGATATTGGATGCTTTTTATATATTCTGTGAATACTTTTGAAAATTCTAAATCAAGGTCGTCTGTTTGAATTATATATTTACTGTGATTCTGATTTGTTGAACTGAATTCTATGGAGTAGATTCCGTATTGTTGTGTTAGGTTACATATATCTTTTAGATAGTGATCGATAATTTGTCTTTTGATTTTTACATCAGGGAACTCTGTTTTACATGGACTGATTCCGGGTTCAAATAAATTTAAAAGTAAATTTTTGCAAAATATATGCTGTCCTCTATCAGTGGTTGCATCTACTATAAAGGGGAAGATATCATCATCATCTGGACTTTCTTCACCTGGGGTGTGTGTTGAGCTCATTTTTTCGTTTGATGACTGTTAATATATAATTATCAATGTGTCTAATTGGTTGATTCCAATTGTATAAATGTACTGGTTTGTGTTTATATTGCTTTTTTATTCTTCTTTTTCCTCTTTTTGATGAATTTGAAGTTGTTTCTGAGTCGGAAAAAAATAATTGATCGTGAATGGGGCAATTTTTATCTATAGATTCTTTTAATTTATAAAGTTCGTCTAAACTGTTGGTTTCTGATTCTGAAAATGCGTTGCGGTTTTTGGAAAATCTTTTTCGTGTAATTTGTCTTTGTTTGGTTATTATTTTTCTTTTTAGTGTTTGTCGTTTTGTTCTGATATATCCAACTGTTTGTGTGTGTGGTGTGATTACAAGATCGTATTTTTTGTTATCTATTTCACAATTGTGTAAAACGATTGTTTGTTTATTTCCTAGGTTTTTATATGACATAAGATTTAGGATGACGGATGCAAAAGTTTGTTAAATGATTTCTATTTGCTTAAACTGTTAGTCCTTACGATTTTTTGGTTAGCTTAACCTGGGTCTATTTGTTCAGGGTTGGGGAGAAAAGTATATCGATTCCGAAGAATGATTTTATACTTTCTCGTGGCTAGTATAAGCTAAGGTGTTAACTTACTTAATCTTACTTAAGGGTAGTGATTGTGTTCAGGGTTGGAGAATAGTAAATCGATCCACAAGGTTCAGGTATAATTAGAACGCGAGTAGTTCGTTAGATACTATTTTAAACTTACTAAGTCTAAGATTTATCCTGGGTCTGGTAAGAGGGGGGATCAAGTGAAAAATGAATAACCGAAGTTCTTCACTGTTTATCCTAATTTGAATGATTAGTTTTGCTTAAAAATTTCTATTAGTCCTGGGTTTTTAGAAAGGGTTGGATAGTGAATCGACGTTTGAGGTCGTTAGACACTAGTTAAGTGGGTGGGGGAGAACAAAGTTGTTCTTTTTGATCCAAGGATAGGCCTTGATGATCAAGTTTTAAATTTAATTAAGTAGAAAATGATTTAAGATCCAAGGATAAGCCTTGATGATCTGATTTTAAATTTAAGTGAATTTAAGTTTAAATAATGATTTAAATTTGTGTAGAGAAAAGATTTAGTGTTTTTATGATATTAGTGAGCTTATGAATGCTGTTATGTTTAGGTGATGAAGCTGGAACAACAGGATGATTTATGATTACTAACCATTTATTGTCATGCTACTAATTTTTATTTTGATTTTTCAATAAATATTTTTCAAACATGTTTTGTATATTACTGCAGAATTTAGGAAAACGATCTGAGATCTTTTTATCAATCGTTATTGTATATTAATATTTGTTTAGCGCCTTAAATGATTTTGAAGATTGACTTCAAGATTTTATGTTTGCAGATGAAAATCTAAATTCATTGCTAGTAGTATTCTAAATACAAAAGTTTGTTCTGGCTTTTGCCGAACTATCATATAACTATATGGTAAGTTTCTATTTTGTCGTATGTCGTCTCTGGTTCGAGGTCTTCTTGCAATTCCGGGTAGTTCTGTTATCGTTCGGAATATTGGCTCTGATCTATTGAGTCGTAGAGACATTTCGATTAAATTATCGTCGTATAACATTTTGTAAATGTTTTGTCTAAATTCTAATCTATTTTTTGGTTAATTCTAAGCTATTAAGGTCTTGTTCGAGACTTATGGTCGCGCCAGATGAGTTAGGACTGATGGGTATAACTCATAGAGTAATTTCGGATAGGGTACACCGTCTGCTCGTCACGCTATCTTATTTTCGGCCGGATAGATTCGTGCAACTTCTTAGTCTAATACCGATCCTAATCTTACTCTTATACTATCTAGTCTCAGGTTGTTTAACTAGTCTCTGCTAGGCTCAATAGATCTAGGGTATACTGGTTTATTGCGGTTGCTGAAGTCTTCTTGGAGAGTCAACTAATTTCTAAGTTAAATTCAAATCTCTCTGGTGCTGAAATTACAAGTAATTTCAGCACTTACAAATAAGTGGATTGTTAGTTAGATGGATCATGATTGGTTAATATCAAATACTTTACATTGGTAAAATATCTAATTTATCCAATCATAAAATGTAGTTTAGATCAGGTTCCACAAAGTTTCACCAAGATTCAGTGTTTATCTTTCGATGATCTGTGAAAATATGGGACAATCGTGAGACGAGTAAAGTACGCGAATCTATATTTTAAAGAAGTACTCTAAAATACTCACAAAGCTACAAATGGGCTTCACTTTATAAGATTGGTCTTAAGCCATAGCCAAATCCATCTCAAAAACGTTCCAAAATCGGATAAATTAATAAAACTACAAAACTTCAGAATTTGTTTTTACAAAAAAAAACATATTTTCTCTTGAAAAGTACAGGAGATAAGTAAAACTTACGCAACGTGAAAACAACACGTGAAATGTTAGTTGTTATATTTGCACAGATGGTAAATGTGACTCTGGCTAGCTACACGAACGGCCTGGAGGGCCACATAGGGAACATAGAGTGGAAGATCACAAACATCACCTCCTCCATTGTGAATGAACACGACGTGTCCAACCACCCCCTCTATGAGGGAGAGACCATCAGATACCCATACATCCGATATAGGTGTGTGTGCTCTAAAGTGAATCAAATTGAAATCCAGGTCACTAAAAGCATATCAACTTTAGGTTGGTGCTTGGAAAAATTGGCCAGCTTTAAATTAAAGCTCGTGTTTCATGAGTCACGTTCGCTTTGATAGCGAGATAGTTTAAAGAGAGTATTGACAGAATTCTGATTTTCCAATAGTGTTAGGAACTTATATTTACGGGTTGTTTTTCTTCAGACCGGAATAAAAAAATTATATAATTTTTTATTGCATTGAAAAGTGTTAGATCATATTTATTACCATATTTATTTTTAAGCTCATCATGGTAATCATACTGAGCATGATTAGTATGATGAGCTTAAAATCAGTACGTTTTTTATATCAGATAAATTTGGTCAAGAACAGCCAGACTCCACTTATTGTTGTGTTGTGTTTTCCGGTTAGTCTTCTCACTAAAGTAATCAAAATTTTATTAGTAACTTTTGAGTGAAATGAATCATACTCTTCCATGTTTAAGACCAGTAGCCAAAGCATATTTTGTAAGCTTTGATTTTAAGTCAAACAATTACTTGAATCAACTTAAATGGCGGTCGGAACAGTCAGAAAGAATATTCGTTGCAAGAGCAGTCATGTTTTCTGCTTGAATTAATCGCACTTTCTAAATCTGTCATTTTGGACCTTATGTAACCATTTTATGCCTGCTGTGTAGGATCCACCTGAGTCGTAAGCCGGATTTCTACGTCAACAGTCTCATCACGCCCTCCCTCCTCCTGAGCTGGCTGGGATCCATCATATTCCTACTCCCGTCAGACTGTGGGGAGAAACTGGGCTTCTCAGTTACCCTCTTCTTAGGTACGTAGTAGGGGTCACATTGTGACGTCAAAAGGAGTGGAAGCACCGTAAGATATATAAAAAAATCAAAAGAATCCTTTTTTACAACAACTATACAACAAATAATCAGATCGTGTTTTCTATCCCCAGCTATGGCAAAGATGGTGTGTGAGGATGAGCTCTCAAATGACCTCTAGCTTCAGGTCTACCACAGTCTGACCGACTTCGGCTGCAATAGTGGTACCACGTGAAGTTTTAGAATCAAAAAGGGCCATGAGTCGCAAGAAATAGCTTCGCTTAACAAAATAAACATGAGTGTGGAATGTGGGGTAATAATACATACAGACTATGCTTTTCATAGATATTCTGCGAGTTGCACAGAAACATCCATTATTGTTTCGACTTTCGATACGAAAGTAACGGAATATTTGTGCTCGGGGTGGGTTTTTTTTTTCTTCTGACAAATTTCGACTTTTTAACTAGCCATTTTTGACGGAATTTTTTTATATCATTCGAAAGGTATTGTTGTCATGAGCTCAAATTTGAAAAGATATTTCACCTGTGATCATTTTTCGTAAAGTTATAGGGGTTTAAAAATTGCCATTTTGGCCAATTTGGGACAATTAACGCGCGATATATTTCGCGCTATTAACGCGTAAGCGGAGAGTTAATCCGTCTTATAAATCGTTCCAAATTGGTTGAAAGAAGCTTATTTGCCATAAATGGTTTGTTACAATTAGCGAAATCTATATTTTGGTATTTTATCTGGCGTGTGGGGGGATGATTTTCATAAAAAATTTCAAATTTTAGAAAAAAAAATTTTCATTTTGTTTTATTACATTTAATTTTTTAATGTTATTACTGCTTCATAAACCTTAAAAGGCTGTCGGAACATTCAAGGATTCGCCCTGATACGAGCAGTCTTGTTAATATTGTTAAAACTATAAGGGTAAACTTCATTCCATGGAAAGGCTGCGAATATTTAGAAAAGTCATCATGTTGTAGACTCCAGGATATGAAATGGTTGACAGAGCTTGGCATTCGAAAAAAAAAAATCAGCGAAAGTCTCGAGGAATTGTTTTTATGAAATCTTCAGATGAATAACTTTATTTTTGTTCCGACTTTCGATACGAAAGTAACGGAATACTTGTGCTCGGGGTGGGTTTTTTTTTTCTTCAGACAAATTTCGACTTTTTAACTAGCCATTTTTGACAAAATTTTTTAATATCATTCGAAAGGCATTGTTGTCCTGAGCTCAAACTTGAAAAGATATTTCACCTGTGATCTTTTTTCGTAAAGTTATGAGGGTTTAAAGATTGCCATTTTGACCAATTTGGGACAATTAAAGCGCGATATAATTCGCGCTATTAACGCGTAAGCGGAGATTTAATCCGTCGTAGAAATCGTTCCAAATTGGTTAAAAGAAGCTTATATGCCACAATTGATTTGTTAATAGGCGCAAAATCTATCACTTTGTACTTGATATGACGTGTGGGGGGATGTTTTTACATAAAATCTCAAATTTTTTCAAATTTTTTTTAAAAGTTTTTTTTATTACATTGAAAGTTCCGACTGCTTCATAGACATTGAAAGGCAGTCGGAACTTTCAGGGCTTGGCCCTGATACGAGCAGTGTAGTTTGATTTTAAAATATGAACTGATCTAGCTTTCAGTTATGATATTTTGTAGCTTTATACGTGAACCAAGTGGTGGTGTCTGACTTCCTGCCGCCCTCGGCCGACTCTTTTCCTCTGCTGGCTAGATTCTACACCACCATCACCCTCATCATGGGACTGAGCATCATACTCACTGTCGTCTCACTCACTGTACACTTCAGAGTCGAGCCCAAACTAGTCCCACTCAAAGGTCAGGCAAAAAGCAGCCAAATTTAACAGGTCAAAATAGAGCAGTAAACAAATTTGAATTTTTTGGGCTCAATTTAAATTTTGCTAAATTCATGCAAGTCTGGCATTATTTTGCAAGAGTTTGGCAAAATTTGCATTCCAAGCGCACTGGCGAAGCAACTACAAATGGAAGACCAAATTTCATTAAAATGTAATGCTCGCGGTTGCTTTACCAAGGAGTACTGCATTAAATTATAATAAAAAAACCATAGAAAAAAATTATATTATCCATTGATTGCTAATTAAATAAATGCACTGCAGTACTCAATTCACAAAGGATGACTGGAGTTGAATTTAAAAAACATACACCAAGTCTTAAAAAAGACATTCCATAATATTTGATTGGAATGTTTTGAAGACAAAAACCTATTTAAACAAGAATTGCTCTGCAAGTAGAAATGAAAAATACCACTTCGTTGATTAGAAAAAAAACGAATCATTTCCCCCATTTACTTGAAATTTGTACAACTTTTGTGCGTCTTGTGATGGAAGGCAATAAAACGAGGATCTTATACACTAAACGCCCAAAATCAGTATTGCAAGATCCTGAGCGGCCGACAAACCAATCAAATTCATATAACATGGTCCGGCATTTCATTTAAAAATTCAAGAAGACGATTTTATGAGCCAAAATGACGAAAATTTTAAATCTTTTGTTCAGTTAAAGCCATTTAAATAAAATTTTTGTGCTCGGTCAAATTTCACAAGTTACTTGAACGTAACTTGATTTTTCTCCATTTTTCTTCACAGTTCCACATTTTTGCCCACAAGTTCGACTAATATTTTTTTTCGACTAGATTTGTTGATTGAAATATTTGACCGCACTGCGAGAAATTGATTGGTTTAAATAAGCCAATCAGATTCGACAGCAAAAATACAGTTCATTATACAAGAATAATGAGTTTGGGCCGTCCTTGGTATCAAAAAATAAAAAAAATTATAAAACCCGTCATAAATAATGTTTGATTTTTTTGTTCATACCCGCACCGGATTTCCATGGATAAAAATCGATTATATTGAATTTTTGTGGTCTGTTTCAATAAATTTTGATAATTATCGATTATATAAATTAAAAATGGATTATAATGAAACTATTTTTCTAAACAATAAAATCCGAATATAATCGATTATAATCGATTATTTTTGAAAGAAAAGGAAACTTGTTTTCGAGGCAAAGTAATCCATTATAATCAATTATAATCGATTGTAATGGATTTTTTCGAGAGGTTAGTCATGAAGTATACAACTTTTTTTCAAAATTATCGCATTTCCTGTTTAGTGCAGTTGCTACGTATTAGGTTCCTAAGCTTCATAAAATGTTGCATTTCACTTTTCAAACTTTATAATTTAGTCTTATATACCCCGTTTACCCCTTCCCTGTTTACCCCCCCCCCCCCCCCTTTCCTCCCTGTTTACACCCCCACGCCCCCCTCCGTTTTCCTCCCTTTTTACACTCCCCCCGCCCACCGTTTACCCCACCCCCCACCCACCTACCTGCCAGTTTAGCACAACCGCCATTCGCATTCGCCCCCTTTATGGGGGTTTATTTGTTGGTAGACTTCAAAGGAGGAGCCCCCTCCAGTTTACCCCCCCCCCCCCGTTTTCCCAGTTTACCCCCTCCCCCCACCCAGATTGGAGCAAAGTGGGGGGGGGGGGGTTAATTCGAGTAGGTTTAGATTGCGAGTAGGCCGCGAGTAACGCAGAAATGTTGCAACTTTTGCAAATAATTTTGCAAAAAGGTATAGATTATAATCCGTTATAATCAATTATGATGGGTATTAAATGGATTGTGTTTTTACGAAAATAATCGATTATAATGACAATATAATCGAATACGTGGTCTAAATTTGCCACAATAATGGATTATAATGACAACATTTTAGACAACATTTTTCCATTATAATCGATTATTATCCATGGATCTCCGGTGCGGGTATGTCAAATATGATTTTTTTTCATGACGTAAACTTTTGTTTTAGTGTCTCATGCTCTAAATGGCTCCAAATTAAAATTGATTTAAATTCGAGAAACGCGGTCAGGCATTTTAATTGATATTTCCAGCAGACAAAAACATTTGACCAAGTTAACAAAAACAAATAACCGAGGCAAAATCAAATCAATTCACTAGTGAAACGTTGCCCTGGCAAGAAAATTTCAGTGAAATAGTTTCAACGAAACAAAAGATCTATATTTTTGGTCATTTCGGCCAATAATTTTATCATCTTGAATTTTTAAATTAAAAGCCGGATCAATTTGTTTGAATTTGATTGGTTTGTTAGCCGAACTGATTCAACCACATTAATTTCAATTCAAGATGTTAAAATATTGTTTTTGGGACGTTTCATACATTAAACCTGGACTCGCTAAATGAAGCTTCATGAATTGGTTTTAACGGCTTAATTAAAAGCTTTAATGTTCATTTAACACCTACAATAGTCAAAATTATAACTACAAATGCACTGAACAAAATTTATCTCGACTTGGAAAAAAATTTTTGAATGTTTTTTATATTGTTCGAATCAGGACTGAAAGATGATAAATCACTCGGCTCATTCGGGTAATGATTTGTGGTAACTGATACTGGTGGAAAAAAAACTTGAATAAATTAAAACATCAGAAAAAAAATTTTCTCCCACTTTCAGTGGTCGTTTCAATAATAATTTTTTCTCAGGTTTTATTTCAAATAATTTCTAATGATTTTGAAGGGAAAACAAGGAGCCTAGCATCCAATTCTAAGAAATAAAATTCGCTAAAATGCGTTCGATAATCAATCATTCACTTACAAAATATTTTGGGCCTTACATATAACTTTATCTATATTCTAGGTTCTTTATTGGCCGGAATATTGAAACATCTGGAAAACCTTGGTTCCTGTTCCCTTCTCGCAACCGTGAACTCATTCTTTAAACTATTTCAAAGATCAAAAAACAACAGTCCGAAAGCAAGCGAAAAAACAAACAGCTCCGGAATTGCAAACTCATCGTCCAAATTTGGTCTCATAAGGGACACTTCTTTAATACATAGCAATAATCATTCGAGAGTCTCGTCAGTGCATAATGGTTATAACTGTACTAACCGGCCAGTTGACTTCGTTTATAACTCGGCATGTGCCGATCCGATTCCGAATACAGCCAGTCAAATTTTGGATCCCGAAAGCGGGGATGAGTTGCTGAATGCTTCTTACGGGAGGCGGGGAGATGCTATAGGGCACCCGGAAGTAGACAGACAGAGAAGGGTTGCGCACCCAGAGGAGAGTCAGTTTGAGCTTCCGCAGGATATTGCGAATACTCTGGAGCAGATCAAATCGAGCTTGAGCATCATGGCCAAATGTTAGTTGGAAATATGTTTTTTTTTGCAGTGCGGAAATTGAGTTCAAACTGGTGAATATATGCGTTGATGCAAAAAGGGAAATCAATCATACTTAGCCCTGCATTTTTAACAAAAGTGCAATACTCAATATCATTGAAAGATTTAAAGAAATTTAAGTTACTGTTTTTGAAATCTTGAGCATTCTTTGCTTCATCTACGCCAGAGACGTGGGTTTCGTAGCGGATTAAACAATAAAATATGTTTTAAATTTTTAGACTGGAGCACAAGATCTGAAGAGGGTGCAGGGGGGTGTAAAAGTGGGAGTTCGAGAGGGGGAGGCAGAAGGAGGTTCGCATCTGCTTCGGGTGACGTGGACAAACGGAGGTGGGTGCTGGTAGCAGCTGGGATGGACACAGTCTTCTTTTTCATCTACATTCTCATCCTGACCGCTGTCACTTTATTCTTCGCCTGGAAATCTATCATGAAGTAAACGCAAACAATTAGCGAACAAAAGAAAACAAGACAAGTTGTGACAGACGGGCAAATTTTTGAGCAAAAAAGACAGAAATTTGAAACAAAAATGACGCGTTGCTTTTGCGCTTTTCAACATGTATATTGAACATTTTTGCAATAAATATTTTTATGGAATGATGAAATAGTAGAGATAGTTAAGATTAATTAAACGGAGATGGGATTTATACTTTTGCTATTGTTCTAAATATTTTAAGCTCAATTACATGATTTTGATCCTTTTTTGCAAGCAACCAAATAACTGGAATGAACGGAAAGTCAATAAACCGTGTGGTAAATAGCACATAGTCTTTCGACCAGTGTTATCTAAACAAGCAAAGATACAAGAAATAAAAATTTCAAAAAGTTTCTCCCAAATCAGTTTTCTTTGCTGAGGACTCGTTCAAGTGACTACTGCAAGGAAGTGAGAATTTCAATCTGCGAATGAAAAATTAGACCGAATCACAAGTGAAAAAGCTTTAAAATAACCCCAGATAGTTGCAAAACGACGCAAAAAAAATAGTTTTTTGAAATTTATAATTCGTGAAACATTCATTGTCTTAAAAACTAAGTTTTTCAACATTTTTTTTTCGGAATATTTCATAGCAGTTCGACTTACGACTGAAAGGATCTCAATATAGTGTATCATCTAACGCGCGCAAAAAACAACCACGACGTTCCTGCACATCTTCAGTTGTCTGTAAAACTCGGGTCAAGTTTCATATAATTTTATTGTTCCGATGATTTGAAAAATGGGGAGAAACTTTGTTTTCGGATGTGCTTTAGTTTATTTTTTCTTTTTGTTTTCCGCGAAAAATCAGATACCTCAAAGATTCATCGGACTGGGTTCAGTGATATATCAAACTACAGCCCTTTCAATCGTGATTCGAACCATTTTGAAAATTTCCGAAAAACATTCCAGTGTCGAGAGAAACCATTTTGAAACTATTGGTTTTTCGTCTTATTTCGAGCGAATTAAGATAGCGACCAGGCTTACATCAGCTGATTTATGTCTAATCTAAGTTCCAACATTTCAGTTTAATGAAGTAAAGATAGTTTTTGGAGTTTTTTGCTCATTTTAGGAAACAAAAAAATCAGAAAAGCTGAAAAAAATTCATGCAAAAAAATTTGAATTGAAGAAAAAAACAATGTCGAATTTTTTAAAATTTTTAATTTGACTGTTTTGCTTTTCTGGTCATTTTGACCTAATGTTTATTGTTCTATGACTGTTAATAAAGCCTAAATTATAGTATTACATGAGATTCTTTTATCACACTATGCAGAAAAAACTACACTGATTTTTAAAAATATATGTAGATATTTTTTGCAGTTATTTAAAGAATATCTTATGTGCGTTTTGTTTCTATTTTTGTTCCGACTTTCGATACGAAAGTAACGGAATATTTGTGCTCGGGTGGGTTTTTTTTTCTTCAGACAAATTTCGACTTTTTAACTAGCCATTTTTGACGGAATTTTTTTATATCATTCGAAAGCCATTGTTGTCCTGAGCTTAAATTTGAAAAGATATTTCACCAGTGATCATTTCTCGTAAAATTATGAGGGTTTAAAGATTGCAATTTTGGCCATTTTGACCAATTTGGGACAATAAACGCGCGATATAATTCGCGCTTTTAATGCGTAAGCGGAGATTTAATCCGTCTTATAAATCGTTCCAAATTGGTTGAAAGAAGCCTATTTGCCATAATTGATTTGTTACAAGGAGCGAAATCTATTGTTTTGTACTTTATATGGCGGGTGGGGGTATGATTTTCATAAAAAACTTCAAATTTTAGAAGAAAAAAAAATTTCATTTTATTTTATTTCATTTAATTTTTTATGTTTTTATGCTGCTCCATAAACCTTAAAAGGCAGTCGGAACATTCAGGGCTTCGCCCTGATACGAGCAGTCTTGTTCTTTTGGCTTACTTAATTAATATTAATTTAACAATACGATGCATACTGACACCAACGTCTGAGTTAGACAAACTTCAAGACATTTTGGCATCACTTGGTAAATAGGCTGAATTCATGTCACCAAAAAAAAACTAAACTTAAATTTAAAAAAAGACTGCTCGTATCAAGGCGAAGCCTTGAATGTTCCGACTGCCTTTTATGGTTTATGGAGCAGCAGTGATAACATTAAAAAAATTAATGAAATAAAAAAAAATGAAATTTTTTTTCCAAAATTTGAAATTTTTTATGAAAATCATCCCACCCACACGCCATATAAAGTACAAAAAGATAGATTTCGTTCCCTGTAACAAATCAATTATGGCAAATAAGCTTCGTTCAACCAATTTGGAATGATTTATAAGACGCATTAAATCTCCGCTTACGCGTTAATATCGCGAATTATATCGCGCGTTAATTGTCCCAAATTGGTCAAAATGGCCAAAATGGCTATCTTTAAACCCTCATAGCTTTACGAAAAATGATCACAGGTGAAATATCTTTTCAAATTTAACGTCAGGTCAACAATGGCTTTCGAATGAAATAAAAAAATTCCGTCAAAAATGGCTAGTTAAAAAGTCGAAATTTGTCTGAAGAAAAAAAAACCCACCCCGAGCACAAATATTCCGTTACTTTCGTATCGAAAGTCGGAACAATAATTTGATAAAAGTTTAGTCTAATTGGAAGTTTTCACAATTGTCTCTGAAATCATTGGCTCAAAAACTGAAGAGCCTATTTCTCTGGCTTTTGTGCCTAACCATGTCGGAGCAGTTACGTAATTTGCCTAAACATGAAACTAAAGAATCGCTACAGCTTAAAAATGTCGACGAAAACACTACTCCCCGCCACTCTAGATAAAAATAGAACGTCTTCTTTTTGAGGACTCATAATACATAAAACTTGCGTAAGCCCTTAAGCAGGGTCGGAACTCTATAGTGTTTTTTTGCTCGATAATGTTTGTTTGATCAGTTTCAGATTGATCAACCTAAAACTCAACTTCTCTGCATTTATCATTGAAACAGAGAATAATTCTCTTTAAAAATTCTTCCTTCAGGTTTAAGACTCCCCATATTATGGCCAATGGTCACGTTTCGCTCCGGTTTAGAATGAAAATTTTAGACACTACATAAGAGCAGGGGCGGAGTTAAGGGGGGGGGGGGGGGTGGGGGTGCGGACGCCTCCCCCCTCAGGGATTCGACCCCATGCCAACCCAAAAGGTCCCCCCTTTGGTATTTTTTGCGAAATCATTTTTTGGCCGACCGACCCTAAAATTTTTCTAAAGGCGCCTTTGGCGCCAATATATACCAACTTTGAGGGGGAGCGCGCGCCAAAACAACGCTACTTTTTTTGTCAAAATTTTCCAAAAAATGCCCCAAAACGGCTTTTTTGACCTGTTTTTTCAAAAATTTGTCTGCGGCGCAGAAAATTTGGGCAAAACAGGAAAACAGGGTCTTTTTACTACTTTGGGAGAGCTCGGAAATTCAATTTGGTCGACCTAAAAAAAGTCGTCAAAATCCTAGATCCGCCCCTGCATAAGAGTCATGTTAATTTTTTTTTATTAAACAAAAAAACTGTATCATTTATCAATCAAAGAAGTTTAACAAATTAAAATCACTTTGGAAAATAAGAAATTTTCGGGAAATATGATGTTGACTGCAAAATTCAACAAAAAATAATCAAACAATCTTTATTTTTTAAACTCGATGTTTATCTCATTTGTTACATGAAGTGTAATAATGAAGTAACTGGCCAAAAAAATGCATTAGTTTTAAAAACAATTAAACAGTGTGCCACCATCCCGAATAAATCTGCATAGAAGACGAATCACTATATTGAACCATAAACTTTGAAAGAACTACTTGAATTGTGGCCGATCTGCACTGAGCTACAAAAATGCATCAAATAGAGGTCTATAATTTTTTTTTAATTTTAAAACGACAAAAACGAGAATTACCTCTTTCACCCGAGTAAGTTACAACTACATATACGAAATTTTTAAAAATACACAAAGAATAAGCTGACTAAAGTGTCACATTCAGATTAATCAGATTGCCTGAAAGAGACACCAAACTTTTTTTATTTTTCCTTTTCGCAGTTTTTTTTACATGTAATTCATTGTAAAAACACTAACTTAAAAATCTGTTTGCTTTTTTGAAAACATGTTTGAAAAGTGGAAGGACTACAAATCAAGTATAAAACGGTCCAATATTACTGCTGATGAACAATTTTTTTTCGACACAACATTCTGTGACCAAAATAACAAGAGAAAAGCAAGGTAAACTTCTAGATGAGAATTATTTTAGGTTTGAGACAACTTCGGAAGTATTGAAGTTGTATGAAAATTTGATTGATAAATAAGTCGATAAAACACACAAAATGTGCCAATCACTGTTAAGATTCTCATTTTTCAACTAAAAAAGGCGGACAATTTCATGGCAATATATGAGAAGGCGGCACAAACTTCGAAAACGAACTCGAGCTATATTTTTTTCCCAAAACCAAAAAAAGCATACAATTGAAAAAATTTTGCCTCAGGAAAAACTTTCTCTACTTCTACTAAAAAAGAATTCGCACAGGCACTCAATTTAAACCGAAGGAAAAATCAGAAACATTTACTGTTAAAAACTTATAATTTATTATTATTATTATTTTTTATAATGCATAATACAAAACAGAATCAATTTTGAGCAGTCTTTTTGAGGATCAAAAACGTTTTGACTTCGAAGAAAATTGTCCGTTTCTGATGTTTTTTTTTAAAATTTTAATCGATAATTAGCCTCGTATGTTCATCTTTACATCCATTATGGTGTTTAATCGATAGACTTTTTCAAGAACTTTGTTGAAGCTACATACGAAAGAACGAGCCAGACATGGGTTACAACCAAGAAAATTCCCACAGTCAATTGAACTTTATTTCCAAGATTACAAGTACAGGCAAACCTATACTAGCCTATACAATTATTGTGTTCCGTGTTTCGCCGTACAAGTCAAACCTGAAAATTTAAAAAATCTGTGAAAATAGCCGAGCACACTAGTCTGAAGTATCAAGAGCTAGTATAGGTTTGGTGGTGTTTGTGGACTTGGAACTAAAATCAACAGGCTTAGGGAACTTGCATGAGAGCAACACAAATACGGTTCGTTCGTAAGTTTTTAAGAAAGTAGTTTTTTGTTGTAACATTAAGTATTATGAGAATTGCAAAAATATGATTCAGCAAACTTGCTGAGGAAATGTGGGCATAAACTTTGATTGTTCCGACTGCCCTACAAAATCGATAAAAAAGTTAGAATTTTTTCATCTTTCTTCACTTAATCTAGACCAACTTTTTTATCTAGACCATCTTTACAAAAGTTGACTGCGTATGAGTATTGCTCTGGAAATAATCAG